CCGGGCCAGGCGGGGCCTTCCAGCCCTGAGTCTCATGGCAGCCGGTGGCCCTAGGCCCAGGCAGGAATGTGTGGGCACCTGCAGGAGGCCTAGGCCAGTCTGGCACCTCCTCGGCACTGCTGCCGCCACCTGGACTCGGTCTCCAGCGTGGCATCTCTAGGAACACCTGTCAGGTGATACTGCCGGCCAGCCAAGTCCTCCACAGACCCAGGCCCCAGCCTCCAGGTCCTGTGCCTCTGCCCCAGAAGTACAGGTCCCTCCCCTGGGGCCCTAGACCCTGCAGTCAGACAAGGGGTAGGACGATGGGGTCACAGCCAGAGCCCAGCTGCCGGAGCAGGTTCTGAGCCCCCAAACCCTCTGAGGACACTCCTAGCACAGAAATGTCATGACTGCCACCCAATGGATGGGACGCTGAGGCAGGGCCTGCCTGAGGGCCACCTGGCACCGTGGAGAAGGGTGGCACCGCGGCCCCAAAGGTGGGCCTGGTGCAGCTGACCCTCTGGTGGGAGCCCCCTTGCCCGAGGCGGCCCTGCTGCAGATGCAGGGCCCAGAGGCCCAGCTTGGCCCCCACGAGGCCCGCACTCCCAGGGCACTCAGAAAACCAGAGGCAGCGAGGCCGGCAGGAGGGTGGCCATGAGGACCGCCTGGCCAGTGGTCATGCAGCTGGCCACCAACTCCAGGACCCGCAGCTTCCGGACCTGAGGCCTAGAGCCTGGAGAGGGTGAGCACCTCTGCAGGGACACGCAGGCCCCGTGGACGGAAGCAGCCGCAGGGCCGGCGACGGCCAGGCAAGGGCCCTGCGGGAGGCCGAGGAGAGGGCACAGTCGCCAGGCGACGCCACGAGGATGCAGGGGCAGGGCCACTTGTGGCAGAAGCAGCCTCGCTGCCCTGAGGGCTCCTCCTGACGGTAATTTTCCAAGACACGATGACACAGAAAAAATGTGGAAACCATTTGGAGTCACCTCGACCCGGATTTTCCAGCGAGGGCTTTGCTTGCCCCTCCTCAGCAAGGCTTCGGTTCTGAAGGGAACAAAGGGAGGGCAAGGCGCGTCCCCCGGGGCTCTGAGCCGAAGGAGTCACGACGGGGCAGGCCTGGCCAAACCTCCTAGGAGTCACGCCGCTGCCTTTGAGGGGTGCCGAGCGCGCGGACACTGCTGGCAGAGGCCGGGGCCGGCATGGCAGGAGTGTGGGCAAAGGCCACGTGGCCTCTGTGAGGGCGGTGCTGTGACCTGCAAAGGCCAGGGCTCCAAGCAGGCTGCGGGCAGGGCCACTCAGGAGAGGTGTGGCCACACAGGGCACTGGTCCCTGGTCACGACCACCCTGCACCTGCGAGGGCCAGCCGCACTGCCAGGGGGGAGGCCAGGTAGGCAGTCCGGAGCTGGGGCCGGCCTCCACACCTGCTGGCGAATGAAGCCAGGGCCCCGCCCCAGCCTGGCCACACCACCCAGGGTCACCCCTGGAGACTGAACTCAGTCGGCCAACACCCGCACGCTGTCCCCTCTGTCCTTGAGCCGTAGGCCTGCATGCCCGACGCCGTGACGTCCCCAGAACTGAGGCTCCACCACGCCGCCGACAGGCGG